TGCTGGTGGCCACCTCCAGCCCCAAGAGGGCAAGGGCGAACCAACCCAAGAAGGCGAGGATTTTTGTTTGACTTTGCTGACTACGCGCTTCAGGAACAACGCAGCCAAAAAACACCCAACCCCCTTAGGCCCTAAACCCAGAGGCAACCCTCACACCAACCCTCACCCCAGCTAAGAACCCAAGCAAAGCGGCATTAGCTCGAGCGAGGAAGGGCCTTACTGGCCAGCCAAGTCTACGCGAAAGCACTTCATGGCGTGGCACAAAAGGCCTGCCCTCCCTGAAATGCGAACATCTCCACACAAGATGCTCCCACGACGGCACGTTCCTGGAGTGACAGAAGCAGCACACACGAGGCACAGGCTGGCCCTGCATGCGAGCGTACTCAGCGGTGGAGTGGGCAGCTCCAACAAGCACTCCCCTCGCCTCAGCACCGGACTTGCGCCAAAGCATGCGCGTGGCAGCAACCTGTTTCTCATCATAGCGTGCCCCCGCAGCCCTCAAGTCAGCAGCATCATGTCTCTTGGGATTGTGCAAGAAACGATCAAAACAGCTCCTACGCCAAGTCTCACGGAGCACGTGCGTGGACTGTTTAAGCCACCCCTTGAGCTGGTCTGCATCCCCGGGCGGAGGCCAAGAGAAACGGCCGACTGCTTGCACGAAAGCGGCGCCTCGCCTGACAAACCCTAAACCCTGCAAGGAGTCGAACAGGCAAACCTGCCACTCACCTCCTGTATGCAAAGCACCGTGACGCCTCCAGAAGCTGATGCCCCGTGCCAGTGCGCCGAAGCTAGCCAAAGTGGCATAAAAGTGCGGATCAGTCCAAGGCCCGGACAGCATTTGCCAAAGATGCCTAGAACCGTGGGCATGCGCTCCAACAGCTCTCTTAAGCTTGGTAATGAGCCCTTCCGCCTGCGGGTAGCTGTCAAACCAAACACCCCAGCACACAAGCCACCCGGCCCAAGATGCGAAGACCTTGGTCACAGCGCTTCTGCGCACTAATGCCTAAGCCTCCCGCCTGGCGAAAATCAACCCCTAGCATCCTGGTTTCGGAATGCAACAGTTCTGGCCCAATCCCCGCGGCTCTCAAGGCCTGCGCCTGGGCAGGGTCACGCGGCACAATCCGGGCCTTGACCCGATTTTCTTTCAGGCCAAGCCGAGTACACCATGACTCCCAGTGAGCCAATGTGCGAATGACATCTTGTGTGGAGAAAACAATCACATTACGATCATCTATAAACAGAGCTTGGCAGGAGCCGCCTTGCAGGGCGCCTGCAGCTCGTCAGCGCCTTGCTGCAAGAGAATCGTGAAGGCGGCCGGGGCACAGGGGTCCCCTTGAGGAACCGAAGTGGAGACGACTTCGGGCGCACTGAGCGTTTCCCCACTCCACGTAAGCCACCTGGATTGCTTGCCCCATACATGCATGAGGTACTGCGCCCACTGAACCGGGAAGCCTTGCCGAGCCATCATCCCGACAGTGAGCTCAGGGGTGGCACGGTCAAACCCTTGACTGAGGTCAAGAGACACAAGCACGGCTCCTGGAGCCGCAAACGCAGTAGTCAGGGCGGCCAGGGCCGCGTGCACCCCACGCCCCGGCAGAGCTCCATGAGTGCATGGACTGACCTGAGCCTCAAACCATCTCTTGACCTGGCTTTTGGCCATGAGGGCAACCCTGCAGAAGAAACTCTGAACACTGAGGGGACGCAAGGCGTCAACCGGCAGGACGTGCTCTTCAGGATCCCGCTTCGGAATGAAGGACGAGCGATAGTGAGTCCACACCTCAGGATAGCGGTTGCGCTGCTGCCATCTTGCAAGCAGAGAAGCAAACTGAACCCACGCCTGTAAGGGAAGTACACTCACTTCATCCCCGCCCCAGCCATCCAAGCTGGCACTACCCCCTGCCCGCAAGCCGGCAGCGGCCATCAATTCCTTAGGGCTCAAGGAAAGATCAGGCGGAAGCGAAACGGCGGAGGAGGTTCTGTCGCAACTGTCAGAACGAAGACGCCGAAGCTCCTGTGGCTCAGCGGGACGCTCCCATACATCTTTCCAAAAACCTTTAAGAAAAAGAAGGGCCTGCTGATTGTTGCCGGAAACCTCTTGAATGCCCTCCGAAGTCACGCGGGAGACACTGGCAGGCAGCACGGTAACCGAACGCTTCAACCACTTGGTCGCTTTACGACCCATGGCAGCCATGTCCTGCTTCCAAGCCGAGATGCGCTCCTGACGCCTGGCCTCCCGGAGTAGCGCAATCCGCTGTTCAATCCTGAGGATGGCAGTGTCAACATCTAGATCTTGCACTTCCTGCGGCCAGGTGCGCTGGACGTTAGCCCGCAGCTGGGCACTACAGTTCCCACGACTGGATTGAAACACGAGCTCACGAGCTCTGCCTAACCAATTCGTGAGTTTTCGCTGGCGAAACGACCCCTCAGACTTGGGATGCACGCCCGGCAACTGTTTTGGCCTCCGTGCCTTCAACCTTTTCAGGCCTGTGGTACCTCGGCGTAGCTTTAATGACCTTCCCTTGCCTAAGCGTCAGAGCCACAGGCAACTCAAGATGCACGATCTTATGATCAGAGATCTTGGCAGTGCCATAACGGATGGAAGGAAGGTCACTGCCCCCGTAGCACACCCCAAAGTCAATGCATCGACGCCCTTCCCATCTGGACGGAACAAACGCCCCAGAGTCATCAGTGACGGCGACAGTGCAAAACCCGGCATCAGGGCAGACTTGAGTAGGCGTTTGATTGAAGTCACCGATCCCAAGCCAAGGCCTCCCCAAGCTGAACGCCCCTTCGGCCTGCTCACTGAGCGCTTCGGCCAGACCCGTGCCAACCTCACTGGGCCTCTGCCACACCAACGAGATGTGAAGAATCTCAAGATCCGAGGTGATGAGTTCGCCAGCACTTGACGTATGAGTCTGCAGCGCATGAGCGCGGATGTCATCACGGACAGCGAAGCACAACCCGTTATGCACGTGGTTACAACGATTAAGGGGGTTGGAAAGGGTCCAGGCCCTATAACCCAACGATGCAAAGTGTGCACGCAGCTTGCGGGCATGGAAGTCGCTGGCCCGACACTCCAGCACCCCAATCACATGAGGCCGCACCGGCACAACCTGCTGAAGAAAGTCGTAGCAGTTGTCCAGCCCACCAGAGTTCAAAAAGACAACGGACATGCCACCAGACAAGCCCCGGTTCTTGCATCTCTGCCCGAAGCGGGGCCAGGAGTGTCAGCAGGCTCAGGAGCATCGGCCTGTCTGAGCCTCCCGAGTCTGCGAAAACACAGCTTGGACACGTCGGGATGCTTCCTGGAAATGTGACGATTGCGCAGCTGAGACAGCCTAGTCATGTCGCTTGCCCACAGTACCTGACCGCAAGCTTCACACGGCCACGAAAAACCTTCGAGGTGTTCGTCATCCTGACGCGAGGCGCCTACATCAGGCCCAGGATGCGGCTCGATCCCTTGCTCAACGAGCCAGGCAAAAGCCCGGTCCAGCAGCTGCTTCTGCTTATCGGCAAAAACGGCACGACCAGTGACCCTCCTAAAAGCAAGCCTAAACCCAAAGGGGCCAGGGTTGTGTTCGACACCGTTCTCAACCAAACGCTTGCGAGCACGGTCAAGCAGCTCCTTAACCTTACCAGGCCCAGCAGCACGCTTGACCAGCGAGTGGCGCAGCCCTCCGAACGGAAGCCGGAGTCTGTCGCGCCTTGCGGATGCGGGTGGCTTGATTGTAAACACGCACAATCCTAGTCGGAGGCCCAAATTCCTTAGCAACCTGGTGGTAGGAGGAACTTAGGAGGCAAACCTCGCGCTTAGTCAGCTTGAGGTGTTTCTTAGCACTGGCTCGGGAGACCTCAGGCCGAGCACTCCACCAGCGTTTGACAGACTGGCTTCGCAAACGGTTGATGCGATCATCAACGCCATGGCAGACGGAGTCAAGCTTCTCGCCCACGGCACTCTGGACGTCTTGCCAAAGCGGCCATACAGCCGCGCACTTCTTGCAGCCCCATGACGAGTGTCTCATGTCGGCCGTTCTTGCAATCCGAACAAGCTGGTGCGAGGAGTCGCCGTCCCTCGTTTCCTCCACCTCTGAGCTCATGTTGCCAACTACAAGGTTCAAGAGGGGCATGGGAAATTGTGCATTTCTGCGGGATTAGAAACTGTGTGGTACGAAGCATAGCCATTAATCTGGCATCCGCTGGAGATAAGCCGAGGCTGCGACCGTATACTGACCGAAGCCTGTGCCAACGATAACTCTGGGCCCTGAGGCGCGAGCTGAGACGAGCAGCTGATACACGATGTGAACTGCAAAACCGGGCGACTAAGATCACCCTGGGCAAGCGAAACTTCACCACCTTTCGGCAACGAATGTGTTTGCGCTTGCGTTTGCGCTTACTGCAGCTTGTGCATCCTGCTACAACGTAGAGGCAAATGACCAAGATAAGCTCAGCCAGGGCATTCTCATGCGGATCCTTCTGGCCTTCGTAGAGCGACTTGAGGCTAGAATCCTGCAAACTACCGGCATGGGCCTGCGACCTAAGTGAACCAAGACACATACTGGCAGAAGTATGCCGCTGGAATTCGGGTATGGGATGCGCCTGGCCATAGCCATTCGCATACAGAGCACAACTCAGCGAGTACTGTGAGCACGCACTCTCTCCAAAACCTTTGATGCTGGCACAAAATGCTTGTGCAATATACGACAGTGTGCAAGGACCCATACTGAGGTCTTCATGGTAAGCTTTGATTTGGGTGAAGCCTCGGCACAAGCCCAGGCTCATACCTGGCAGAGGTTGCAGGCGCTCACGCTCACGGAACCACTCAATGCCTCGATCAAGTAGATGAGCAGTGCAGTCCTGAATGCGAATTAAAGTCCGTGGGACAAAGTTGCATGTATTTTGTTTTGGGGCAACATGAATGCAAAAGACCTGTTCCAGCGCCAACACATGACAAAAGCGAGGAAACAGGCGAGGCCTTGGCACCTGACTGCAAACAAGCAACTCAAGGGCAACAACTTTCGGAACGAAAGCGAGTGAGCTCTCACTGGTAAGCACCCTGTTAGTAGGCAACAGGTGTGAATTGGGAGGCGCCCTGCGCTCAACTAGCAACAACGCGCTGATGCATCTTTTGTTGAGATCCGGGCCTGGATTTAATTCCTGGCCACCTGCATGCGTCAAATGAAACCTGCACAGATTTGCTTTCTCGGCCCCTGACTCCCATCCACGCGGGCAGGAATTGCAGGCCGTTGAGGTCACGAAACAATGTGTGAAAGCAGCAAGAAATATCCATTTCCATGACAGAATGCTGCTCTTTTCGCACCTCGAATCCTTCCGAGGCCCACGGACACCGACTTGGAGGTAAGAGTACGTCCGTGCAAGGGATCATCGATCGGCCGGTAGAAGCAGAAGCCTGCAATGACAGCTCCCAAATTCCCTCCAGCCCCAACAAGGGCAGACACCACTGCGAGCTGTGGTCTGTTCATGAAAGGCATTATTATTATTATTATGAGGTGGCCCAACCTGACACTGGGTTTAGGGTCACAGGTGCGTATCAAAGCAGCATGGAGCTGCATGATCAGCGCATCACGGCGCGACTCATCTGAACATGCAGGGCAAAAACCCGAACACGAAAGGGAAAAAGGGGACCTAAACCAACCCCAAAGGGAAAAGGAACCAAACCCAAGGGCACGAAACACCTAGGGAAAGCAAGGAAAGAAATGCTGGGAAAGTCAGTCAGGAGACAGACCATCTCCAAAGCAGGCAGTCATTTGGATCCCTAGCTCACAAGCCGCAGCTTGCATGGAGGCACGCTTGCCTGGATCCCGGGAAGCGAGAAGAGTAATCCAGCCGCTTTTTGCAGTGATTCTGGGTTGCGAACCCCAAAAGGTGGGGGCGACGCCCCAACGTCGTTGCAAGCCCGAGCGTTTGTCCTCAAAGCGCGGACACTCAGAGAAAAGGTGCCGGGCTGAGCAGCGCACCTCGGCGCAAAAGGGGCACGCAGTGTACAACGCATTGCGAAAAGCATGCCTGCGAGTTGGCGTCCAAACGGCACCAGACCTAAAAATGTTAAGGAGAGCCAACTGGTCGTGAGAAAGAGTATTGAGCCAACGAGTCCAAATATGATGACTGGAGGCCTCAAGATCGAGATGCTCGAGACCCTCCCTGTCCAGGCGGGAGGCGGGGATGGAAGAAAGCACTTGAAGACGTGCGGCCTGGCGCAACACGTGGCCGCCTGCGGGAGTGTCAACGCAGAAAACACGAGGGCCGGCGCGAGAGGGTTTTGCAGCTCCCCGCGTGAGCGCAAGAAGGCGACCATCACACGCAGGAAGGAGTTCAAGGACCAAGCCGGTAGAGGCAGTGAGCGAGACAACGCGCATGCGAAGTTCTTCGGCGTAAGTTGCTGCAGCACTGAGAAGGAAAGGGGAAGTATGCTGGATGAACCGCGAGACACGCAGCAAGCCGAAGACGGCGGTACCAAGCACGCGGCGTATGTGAATGCGTTGAGCCCACCACCTGCCTCGGCACCACCAAGTGCAACGGGTGGAAAGAATGGCCCGAAACAAAGCGCGAACGGTACGCTCTGGAGGAGGGGCGATGAGAGGACAACCCCACAGGGCTTTTGGCAACACAAACGCTGAAGCCAGGCGCTCGCGCGCCTTAGCAGCACCGGGGACAGCAGAGAGGCGATTTATGACTGCTTCAAAAGCGCACCAGTCGTCGCGGGGGAGGATAAGGGCATTAGGGTCACCTAAGAAAACCTTAAGGCCTAAGATGGCCTAAGTGTTCAACTGGGTGGTCTTGTCCGGAAACCCACAGTTGGCGCTTGGCACGGTTCTCGGAGATGCCAATGGCCTCATCGGCACCAGCAGTGCGCTGAATGCAGGTGCTCGACAGGACGGTCGCCCTGAGCGACAATGGTACGATCGTCGACGAAGGCAAAACGTTGCTCATCCTGACAGGAGTCACCACACCAAGGGGCGAGGACCATGCCAAGGACAGCCGGTGCAACAGGTCACCCTGAGGCAATCCACGCAAAGGTTTAATGGGAACGGAAGGAACACCACCAACGACGCAATGCCTCGGGGCTTTCCAAGCACGCAAAAGGATTTGGCGAAGGCGCCGGTGAATCCCATGGGTTTGCATTGCAATGTCGGCGACACAATGGTTGATAGTATCAAAAGCCTTAGACAAGTCAAGTTCGGCAACACCGGTTTTTGGGGTGGCCAAAAAGGCAGCGATGGCGTGAAGAGAAGACACGCCTCGGCGACCGGCCCACTGGCCTTGAGGCTGCTCGGGAAACAAGCTAAGGAGAGCCTTGTGCCAGGCTCTTACGAAAACGGAGGCAACCGAAATGGGCCGGGAGTCCAAGGAAGTGCGCTTGGGAATCC